TTCCGTTTTCGGGGGAATATAGGGTTCGGCTAATAAATTATTGTTATAATTTTTGTTTTAAATACGATCCTAGCGTCTTTGGGGTGGTCGAGTAAAGTGGAAAATTGTTCAGCCTTATACGATTTTCTTTTGATTCAGTAGAAGTATTCGAAAGTTTGAGTTTCACTGATAGACTCGTCATCTCGTCATCCTTGATTCCCTGGCCAGACGTTGGACAGCACGTACACGCGTTCCTTTTTTTAAGCAAAGGTTATTCATCATATAGGTGAATTGCGCACGCCAAAAGATTCCATTACAAAACTTACGCAAGGAAAATGAGCACCTTAACTTTCCTGACAACGAACAGAGGCTATCCACATGCCATCCACATGTGAAAATGGATTACAACCTTATTAGGAGCAAGAGGCACGATATGCAAGTGATTTTTTTATTTTATTTTATTTATTTTCACATTTCGACGAAAACTTCGGAATGAATAAAACTCATATGCATTGCTATAGAAAAATGTCAAAGGTGCAACTGACCAGTTCTTTGAAAGCGGTAGACCATGGCCACCCTACTGTTGATCGAACGCAAGTCGCACAGTCTCGATGCGTAAGATAAGAACTTTATTAACGTGTCGAAATCGCTAGCATACAATGTATACTAATTGGGGACACCGTTTAGATGTTACGTTTGCAACATCTAAAGAATAAATGGGGAATTTACAATACTAAGATGCACAGATCACGATATAGTGAAAAAGGAACAAGGCGTAACCACGAAACAGACTTTGCTGGACGTGCTTAAGTGCGGAAAAGGATGGAACCGTTTTAGATAACGTGCCGTCAGAAATAGTCTTATGTCCATCAGTAGGTAACGCGTTATTAGCTGATGTTATCATTACTTCAAGTGTAAACTCCAATGGAGCGAACATTGAAAACTCAAACGCATTTTCGAGCATAGGATTCCGGCTTGGACGCATATTGTGAGGTACTTGTTGTAATTCTCGAGATCAGTCGACAGCAAAAGGCGGCAAATAAAGTTGGTAAGAACGAAACACATGTCATACACTCCTTCTTTCTTGTACAAATAATGCAGATGTTAATTAAATTGTTTATGATAACCATTCCTGATGTATATAAGCGGGATATGATTCTCTGACTAGGTATCGAACATGGAACATAGATGTTCTACATAGTGAATTTCTCAAGGGAATATGTCACTGGCTTTAGTCTGCCAATTCGTAGAGTGTTGGTTTACATTCTGAAACGAAACTATCATCACTGCATAAGTAGTATTAGGAAACAAACTGCAAATCTGAAGGGTACTCCAAAAAAACGGGGATTTTCTCTGGAAAGGGATATCCCCTTACTGCACTTTTCTGAAATATTATATTTTTTTTTACCATGTTTACTCAAAGATAGAAAATAACGTTTTGGTACGGGTTAAGGGTTTCTGTTAGCCTGCTGTAGACGTCTAGGTGTCTGTATGGTGACCTGTAGGTCTCTGCAAAACTCAATGGTACGCGAGCCCATGCTTACAGTGCGTGATAAATTATCTGTATAATAGGAGTGATGCTAATCTGTAGTTTACAGGCTAAGGAGAGCTCATTTAAATCTCCTACTCGCTAACAGATTATCACGGAAACACGCGAGCTATTGGCACACCCAGTTATTTTCCAAACGCCTGGAGATCTTGGAGTGGTTTTAGTTAAAAACAATTGGATTAACACTCAGGATTTCTACTATTTTAAGACAGAAAAGTGCTTACACTTGGAGGGAAACACAACACCTTGCTTAGCATATTTAGAGGCTGCATGACGCGCACCTCTCAAAGTAGCTTGGTTTGTTTACGGAGGCAAGCGCGACGCGACGCGACGCTTTTTTTTCAAAAAAGCAAAGGCTCGCAGAATTGTTACGAATTTTTTTATGAAATTTTGCGAAAAATGTGTTTCCTTTTTTTGTTTCGTTCATGCGGCAGGGTTCTTCGTGAAAGCAGAATAAATGCTGACATATAAAGTTCCATGCTAAAATATCCCAAGACATTTCAAATTTTTATCGGTACAATTACTTGACGGCGTCCAAATCCATATTTTAAATCAATTATGAAATGTTGACTTCAACGAAGATTTCAACGCGGGCTTAATTTATAGCTAGCTAAAAATATATTATTTTGCTCCTTTTGGCAAAGACGAATCGGCGCTGTGATCATGTTGAAGATCTTTGAACAAGCGGCTGCTCAGTGGAATTTGCTTGCCGGTTTACCTGGAAATCGCCTTAGGGTCAGTGACTTAGCTTTCTAAGGCCATGTGCCAAGGCACGCAGAGCAGAACAGTAGGGAAAACAGATGTTTTGAATTAATCCATTAAACAAAAGCTAATGATGACACCAAACCGCAAAACGTTAGGTAACAGATTCGTCAACGTATGCTCTCTCGACAACATGAAAAGCTTAGTTTACTTTTAACGAAATGGAGCTGACAGGAATGCCTCTTAGTTGGCGGCATTCGGAAGTAATTAAATTGAATAAATAAAGTCTGAAATCTATACTCAGTTTTTTAGATAAACAGACAAAAGCTATTTCAGACCAATTGCTTTGGTTTCAGTGAATACAAACTTTCATCACTGTCTCAAGCGGATACTTTGCCGGCGAATTCTGAACGGATTGTACCAAAAAGTACATTTGCTGTTATTAGCACAACGGGTTCTTATGCATCTTTTGCTTTAGCCTTTAAACAAACTCCTCTCTTTTTGAAAGTGCACAACAGAGTAACGTACGCGTGGAATAACCTAAATTGGAACTAAAATCGCCCCAGTCGTAGAAAAGCTTCAGAATTTCATTTGCTAAATTTCGGCTAGTCTTAATTTCTAGCGGAAACAAGGGGCAATTCTTGGATACCAGATTTATTGGATAAACGATTCCCCGCAACCATCATTGATTTTCAAAGGACAGTTTTGTACAAATGACGTCTACACCTATTAAAAGGGTAAATGTAACAAGAATCGAAATAATGTGCAGGAATTTGAGGGATGAAAGCTGAACAAACGCATACAAGTATGGCGCGAAATGTTTTCCGAAATTTCCGCAATATCTCACTAAAATTCCCTAAAAGGTTTCCTTCCTTCGTAGAGTGTAGCTTAAGAGTACAAGAAAAAAGTAAACAGCTGCCAAGAAAGCCATTATCCACTAGTAACAAATACCCTGCTTAAGCTTTACTGTTCGACCTGACACGCCAAAAGATTGGATTACCAAAGACAACAACTACGCGAGATTATTAGCACGTCTTTTGACGTTTCAAAAACGAAAACGTTTTCCCTCAGCTTGTAATAGGCATTCTGAATCTACTCTCTAGTTAAATGGCGTGAAAAAAAGAGGGTTTTTTTTTGTGCCAGTTGATCTAAACAAAAAGTTGAGTGTTAATCAAAGAGATTTAGAAGACAACCCCGGTACTTAACCTTTTTTGTTGTGTTGCCATTGGGATCCAAGTGCGTCACATTTGAGGTTGGTTACAAAGAAAACAGGCGCCTTAGTGTTAGATTTAGAAATGGCCCTTGACCTGTTGTAAGTAAACAAAGTCATTTGAACGGTGGTTTTCTGAGCTGTAGTGATTCTCGCAAACTTTATACGGCGTTTTTTTGTTTTTGTTTTTTCTTGTTTCACTGATCAAAATCAGTCTTTAAAACCTTATTTTTTTCTCAATTTTGCACGAATAGCTGTAAACTGCGAAAGGCTGTGGCTAGCCGCCAGGACGGTTCAGTTGATTATTCAGCCTAAAACTGCTGTGATATTATCGGGAAGCTAAGAAACTCAGATTAGTCTTGAAGACATCCAGTTGTGAAGTTGCCTTTCATTGAAAGCCGCAGAAGCCGTCTTTCGCTAAAATTAGGCCATATCCTCAGCTGCAAATCCTTTAAGCTGTTATTATTATAGCGGCAAAGCAAGATGATGCCGGAAACTAATATAACTTGGCTTCATGAGAAAACGAACTCGAATCAAGCGGCCTTGTGTACTTTATCCTCAACGAAAACTAAAAAATTATGTTTCAGCGTGATAAGCAAGTTTACTCCAGTGAAAAATGATAATCACAAGAAGAAATCCACGAAAATCTAGCCAATATTCTCTCCTGGGGATTTTAATAGTACTGTTTGTCAGTGACGATCTTTTGAAACCTTAAATTTCTATAATAAAATTGTTAGGGGTACTTTTGAAGGTTGTAAAAAGAGAACTTTGATAAAGTGTAAGAAAAAAGTTCTATACAATTGTCATATAAATATCTAGCTTCGCACTCTAAAGACTTGCTACTGAGAAACTCATGCTAAATATATAATTACGACGCATTGTTCTCAGTTTAAATCAGTTTAAATCTCGCAACGTTTGATAAGTACTGAGATAACTTGTTGTTAATTCGTATTCTCCGTGCCACAGCGGTTATTAAATAAGAAAAGCTCTGGCGAACCACCAGTCTATGAATTCCTTCACGACGAGCGTAGCTCGAGTTTAATGTAAACGAAATGCATTTTGAAATAGTTTCACGTTCGAAGAGGGCGTTTTTGAGGAGGAGTCAATACCTTTAATAGCAGAGTCATTGATTCCTTAAAAGTGTTTGTTGACGATGAATTTACGATGACATGTTGAAAAGAAAGGTTAAAAGGCCAGACGCAGGAAAAAGGAAAACTCTCGCAACCAAATAAAACAAGTCCCAAAGGGTGTGAAATAATTTCGATTTCGATACAAACATGTATATTTGAACATGCAGCATTATGCTCGCACGTGGTTGACCTTTGGTTTCGAACGATCTGTAATCAATAAAAATCCTAAACAAAAGCCTTTAATTTTCAATGCTATTTTGTTCCTCCACGCCCCGCGTGGTCAGCAATTAACGACTATCAAATTTAGCAATTCCTTCTGTTGCTGTAATGCTTTCAATAACTTGAGCGTCGGTTCCCAGACGCACCCGGTAGCGGCATGTTATCTCAGCCAATCAGCTCACACTATTGCAAGTTGTAAATCATCAATAAGACGCTGTGGAAACGGCATTCAGCCAGAACATCGGTTCCCTCCGCTGGTGAGAAGGTTTTAATCTACACAACCAGATTGCCTCCGAGACTTTCCAGTATGGATAAAGTGATTTTGTTGCTTTTTGCTGTGTTTGCGGTGTTTCAAGTACAGGCCGCCCCAGAACTGTACAAACGGCTATTCCGAGATGAAGCGTTGAGAGGTAACTTGAAAATTCACTTATGATTTTAAGGTGATTCCTCCTTCGCTCTATTGGCCTATATACTAGAAGCGACGCTAGAGAGAGACTTATCGAACCCGATTTCAAAAGCCAGCTTGTTGTTTCGTCTGTTCCTCGATATTTCATCAAGACGATTCCAGTCACGGGCTGAATGCGTTATCTTGATTCGTATTGGAGAGCTCATATCTTAAAGGGTTAGCTTACATGTCAATTTCGCTGTCTGTGCAGACTTGCTAAGCCTTCCCGTCTATCTGCTCTTTCTTTAAATCAGTACATTTACTCACTTTTATGTTTTCTATTCTTTTAGACTTGTTCTACGAGCTGGAGAACCTACCACGGGAACGAGTCAGCAATGGTAAGTGATTACATTTAAAGCCTGTCTGTTTGTTTCTTTTCGTTAGTGTTTATTCCCTTCTCTAATTCCTATTCCTTTAGATTTTTTCGACGAACCAGCCATGTCGCGCGAACGATTACGGGATGGTAAGACATAACAAATTTAAAAGTGATTATGTAAGGGCCCATTTTTTAAATCTTAAACATTGCTTACATAAACAACGAAGGCCAGAGTCACGCATAAAGTATAAAAATCCGAGAGCAGTGTCAAGTAATGGAAATTATTTCCAGATGAATCGAAATTCAGATAGTGTCGCAAAGTTTGGCAGCTTTAACGTCAATAATTGTCTGTGTTCCGCTTAATACCAATTGCTAGTCTATTTGCAATCTTGGCGTGAAATGTCCGTTTTTGGTTTGTTTGATTGCCGTATAGCACGTGAACTTTAAAGTGAAAGGGGGGCAGGGGACTGAATTGCAAAAAAATTAACACAAGGAATTTTTCACCCCCCCCCCCTTTTTTTTTCTTTTTGTATACAAAGATATTTTCTCATGGGAATTGTTTTCTTGCAACATAAGGCTGAAGTGACTGGAATATGAGTTACTTTTGTTATGCTTTCGTGAGAAATGCACGTATTTAAGAATCAGAGTAACCAGCAGGTAAGCATTTCGAAAACAGTTGTCTCGTTGCAGCTGGCAAATTGTTTTATCATTTAATGTTCCCTTTTTTCCAGGAGAAAACAAAACAAAACCAACAAGTGGGCGGTAGGGTGTAGTCGCATGGCATACTGAGTATGCCATACTGCACAGGGGGTGGGGAGGGGGCTGCGTTGAATCGAAGGGTTGATCTCAACCAGTCAGCAAACAATCTCCACCTAAAAAAAAAAAAAAAAAAAAAAA